GCGTAGGTCGTATCAACACCCCCAGCCAGTCCTTTATCACCATAAACGAAATAGGGTGAATACATTCCATGTTACTGATTTACTGGTAGTCTCGAAACTCTACTTATATACGAAAAATTAGTTTAGTATTATTAGCATCTTCAATTCGCTCTTTTTCTTGGTCCTCTACTACACCAGCTACTCCTTTTCTCACATTCTGTTACGTCGAAGGTATGAAGATAAAGATGGTGTAGCAATTGTGTGGTCGGAGTCTCCTTTCGTTGCCTAGACGTTGTGTGACCTTGTTTTCGCAACTTGTTTATATTGGCAAGAAGACTTAGAGGAACACACTTAGTCCGAAGTCCATTGCATACATGATAATTTCCAAAATCGGGCCGTGGACCTGGTACATTCCCAGACGTTTCGCAAACATCGTAGTCCACATCGTCATTAAGTCTTGCCAGTTTTAGAACCACACTACAACTCTTTAAAGACACAAGTGACGCCGATCCTTTGAACAATTGCCTGCCAAACAATCGTGGTATCTCTCCTTCCCCCTTGGGCAAATCAGCAACCCTGTATCCTCGTCTCTGGCCTTCACTATCACCATTTTTACTTACTTACCTAAATGTGGTATAGTGCGCCCTTTTGAGCGACTGTTATGAGAACCCTCCACACTCCACACTGATCAGAGTCTGCCATATTGTTACGCGGTCCTCTTTTCCTAGGTCTTATTATAGTCTTCCACTTACCCCGTAGGATCCGTCTGCTATCGCTCTAGTTCAAGTATTTCGCTCGACCCATACCACCCCATCTACGCTACTCGAGGCGTTATGTCCCACCATCTGCATCTGAGAGACTAATTCGAGGCTAAAGCCCCGGCGTAATTCTCATGGTCAAGCCTTTGCTTCATGGACCACGTCTGTGGTAAAACAGGCCTACTTTCAGCCAACTAGCCCTAGTCTCTGCCGCGTCTATCCTGTTTCTATCCCGGATACTAAGTCTATGACCTCCTATGCCCTAGTCTCTTGTGTGTCAACCCAAAAATGTTGTAGTTCAACATTGAACATAATCAAAGCAAACAGTATCACAACATTTGTTGGTTAGCACACAAGAGACTAAGGCATAGGACGTCATACACTTGGTGTTAGGGATAGAAACAGGAGAGATGTATTCACCCTATTTCGTTTAAGGTGATTAAGGACTGGTAGTAGAATTTTCCCACAATTTTCCCACAATAGGAAACATCATCATAGTCCATGAATCTCAATTTATTATTTCCAGAAAAATTGACAACTGGACTGTTTACGCACCTATTAGTTCGCATTGCCCGGCCAGACGAAGTATTGCCCACTTCACCTCAGCTTCCTACCCCTCCTAGGTCCCCAGAGCCCCCTGAGGTCCCGGTAAATGCTTCCTCCTCTGACTCCTCGTCGGTCTCTATATCTCGCCCGTCTAACAATGCCATCATCACCACTTCGTCGACAGGAACAATGACCACTGCTTCCGGATCTGAAGCCTGCGATAATATGACCACCTCTTCGCCTGCTGATTATCTCTCCTGTGTTCCGGTCGGTAGGGTAGCTCAAGTTGCAGCAGAGGCCGAGAGACGCAGCCGCTGTCTGAACTCCTGTAGTGGAGGCAGCAACTGTGGCTGTGGGGACTTAATTTTATGCGGTGGGCCAGTCGGCATAATGGCATCTGGCCGTTTGTTATGCTCATCTGCTCTCGTAGACCGGCGGCGTGCTGAGAATATAGCATCTGTTCTTGCATCCGCTGAGGCGAATGCAGCTCATTCAGTGGCCGGGCAGACGGCGCTTCATTTAGCTCGAACGGTAACTGGCTTTCTTTTAGCCTGCAATCATCATGCCGCTTCGGCAGGCACACCCCCACAATGCGGCTACCAACTTCACAAGAGTCTTCAGAATCAAAAGTCAGCTGGATACCTGTCGAATGGAATAGCGAATAAGCCTGTTAACTGCTGCTCTTATGGATCCTACCAGTATTACTATAGCTTTCTGGTACCTGGGGCCCTGACGAGGCGAAGTCCACTGATGAGGTGTCTATCTCGGCAGCCTGGTCTAACTCGATCTTTCACGGAGCAGGTGGTTCGGGCTTTCAATAGAGGCAGTGAGTCAACCTCTTTTCCGTTCAAATCTCGACCGTATATTTTTATATTCATTTAATTCTTATTGTTTTCACACATTTTTAAGGCATATATATTGCATGATATTGTACTACATTCCATTATAAGCAATCTAGACAGCCCCAGATTAATAGATTATGACTAATTTTTTTCGTAATCTGGCTTACGTCTCAATACCTCAACCAATTTTAATTACAGACTAACAGAATCTCTGCCATGCTTTTCTTCGAGCAATTAAGTCCTGATGAATCTGTACTGACGTTAGTCTTTTTTCTTAGTACTCTGGGTTATGACAGGTTTCGCGTACAGACGTTAGCACGCACACACGCACATACATTCGAGTATAAGAGAACTAGTCAAACTATTCTATATACATCTATATCTAAACATTTTTTTCGTTATAAGTATGTATGCCATGTAGGACAGAACCAGTCCGTCTTATTGGCTTAGTGTTAACGTGAGACTTTTGCACGAATTAATCCCAGCTCTGAAGATGTTCAGCATATGAAGAATGCAAGCTCAGCACGTTTTTATGCACTTTCCTAAGAAATAGATGTCTCCACAATAACGTTATCTCAGGAGACTAACGTTCGTTACTAACAGATGCTAAGTTACTTCTTTCCCGTCTGGAGTCGCAGGACACTTAATCTTGAGAACATTTATAAAGAATTAATGATGAGACCTTTTTTGTCCACGCATTTAATTCTAAATTGTATCTACAAAGCATGTATAATTCCTTAGTGGTTTTTCGCTACTAGCTCGCTCAAGATATGACTTGAAGCATGCTCCGAATAGTCATGTTTTGAGGACTTAGCCAGATCTTGAATAAGAACTTGAAGCACCCTGGCGCTTGAGTTGGTTTGAGGACTGATATTTTTTTTCCAACAATGTAATGATTGCGCCTCACGATGCCATATTTTCTTAGATACAATGAATTACAGAGAACACATCACTTTACCGTTAATTCTGGAGCATAGTCATATCGAATCACGCTACTTATAAGATCAAAGTGAAGTCAAAATAGATTGACCTGGGTTTTAAAATACTTTTGGGATACTGCACAATTGAATGCAGCAGCGAACCGAGGTTTTTTCCCAAACCCTTACTTAAGTTTGTTGCACCATTACCCTACACTATCATGTATAGATCTAGGTGTCTAATTCCCAAACTCATATCCTATGCTTCTGATTATTATTTACATAATTTATATTTGTATCTCTAGTAACCTCTCTGCAACACCGGAAAGATTACTAAACGCATCAGGGACCTTATTATCTTTAACGATTTGATGATAACAATATGGGTGCTAAGATTCTATAAGATAACCAGGGTCTTCTGTAATAAGTCAAATGTAAGAACTTAGTATGCCTATCATTTCAGACACGCCACACAAGTTACCTTTAAACAGTTTTCATTTAAAAGTATCACTGTATACTTGCTTAATTCAATCATGAGAAAAATCGACTTGTTTTGATTACTGGAATTCTCGGCTGATCTTACAGATTTTACCTCGTATTCTGTCGATTTTTGCATCCTTATATTTTCGCCTAAAATTCCTTACTCCCTTAGTCTCTTGACTTCATAGAAATACTAACGAATCACATACTTGCCTTTCATGTGTGATTTGATTGAGAAAATGCAGGTGACTGAGAAACTAGGGTTGCCGCTAAAAATTGGCTAATGCGACGATGTCTTCTAGTTCTGTATTGTCACTTAGAGTAAATTGCAGCCGAGTTTCTTTGGGAGGCTAACGAATGTATCTGGATACTTCGCATTCTTGATTTTTTTTAAATAAATCAATCTTTAAAAAGGCTGTTTTATCATATATGACCTCTTGCTCCTTTTTATATTTATATTTTTTATCTAAATTTTAATACAGTTAAGGATATATTGATTTTATTGACTTGCTCTTGCAAGCTACTGAAGAGTAGCCGTATTAAACTTACGGAAGACTTTAGGAAACAATAGATCAGATATGAAGGGAAGCTAGATTTTAAAGAATTCCTTAGTAGCTTGATACTGGTATACCTTTCATTTCGTTTAAGGTTGGTTGAAGGGATTCGTAGATTGACCTCACCGTCATCTTAGGAGCGAAAGCTCAGCATGGAGATATCGAGGTCATACGACGGTAAGCCGAGGCCTCCTTCGGATAATTCAACAGATAGAAGCCCAAGGCAACCCTTCTTCGGTATCAGATGAGGCCAATCTACGAATCCCTTCCACCTA